GGGATAGTGTTGTCATTTGCATCGATCATTTACTTTGGACAGTAAGTCATTGGGTTCATAAGGACTGAGGAGAGGAATAGAGAAAAGACAATTAAAAGTAGACCTTGAATTCTGAAGCCCAAGAACACCAAAAATCATATTATGTTTTGCTGTCCATTAATTGTACATAGATGTGAGTTTTGTTTTGCCATTGCGAGTCATTCAAGATTTCTGTTCATTATTGTATAGTCCATGATTTTTTCTTCTAACATGGATTTTAGATGGAAATAGATCTATCAACCAAACTTAGTAACTACTGTATCTCACTATCTCTTTCTTTTAAATTATTGTGTTTTTGGATTGTATGTTAAATGGTCCAGTCCCAGTCCCACACAAGTGGCATGCTCATCATTTATATGGGAAGGAGGTAATTGGATCTTACCCAGTCGTCTTGAAAAAGTTATTCAGCTCATCCCATCTTTTCATATGTAAGCATCCCCTTGAAAATCCAAATAACCCAGATTTATCCTTCTCAAATTGTTTGCAAGGAGACTTTAAATTTCCCACTTCATAAAGTACTTGGTCTTGCAAAGAACCACCAAGCCTTAATCTGAAATTCTTGAAAGCTGTTGAACAACAATATGAAACAGGAAGCTACTAAAGTTAAGATATAATGTAGGAATATGCAAAATTTCAATTTCTAGGTTCTAGTGCACTGGACGAAAACATTTTCGGTGGTGAAGCAATGGGGATATGCAAACCTTGAACGGCATTGGCAAGAAAAGGGTTGGACAAATCCTGAAAAATAAAGCAAAATAATGAAGAATATTATTCTAAATCCAATCATCGGGAAATATTAGAAAGCTGATAAAGTCTTACAAGATTTATTACAGACGAAAATTCCCACGGGCACTGGTTATAGTTACACTTATCATGAGGCCACCAATCAATAGTAGCACATACATAATTATCATCTGTTTCAGCAATAGTCGTGTTTGTATGGATAACAAGTCTTGCATCGTCTGAGTTTTGTGCCAAAATTGATGGGGAAAAGACTAGTAGTAATATGAACAATGAGATTCGAAATCCCATTGTGTGATCAAATATAGAAATTTACCGCCTGTCCAGCTAATCAAGATTTCTACAAAATATGAATCAAAATTAGAACTCTTAGTAGCATTTACTTACTAGAAAGTGAAATGATAAAATTTCACAAGTATCCACCCAAATTAAGACCAATTAAGCAAGAATATGAAATTTTCAACACAAATAATTTTTTAAAATTTACAGTATCAAACCAGTAATATAAAAAAGATATTGCATAATGAATTAAACCAAGAACACATCAGCAGAGAATCAAAGAATCATCTTTATAACTTAAATAGGAAAAGCCAAAAATATAATGCGACAAACAGATCTACCCAATACCCACCTCGAATTTATTGAAATAGATGAAACTAAATTACAGCCATTAAAATTAAACCTCAGCTCAAGATCAGCATATTCTCCATTAAGGGCACGAATTATGAAATACTTTTTCTGTTCTATAGACAAGAGGAAAATGTCATTTGATTTCGGTTTGTCTCAGATTTCTCAAAAATGGCTGAATTTACATACATACATATTAGAAGAGGCGTGTGGGGTCAGCTTCAAAAACATGATAGTGTTTTCCAGAGGTTTGGTATAAAATAGTTGTTGTGCCTTATTGAAAAAGGATAAAAATAATAAAACAATATATTTTGTCTTCCAATTATTTTGCTGAGATTAAAAGCTATCCAACGGTCCAATTAATCTTAAGCTGTAAGTTCTGTTATTTTCTACAACACTTGCACCGTGTTTGCCTGAGTTATTTCAACTTGTCAGTAACTTAACCTTAAAAATAATTTTCTAAATGGCGTTTTGAAACTGCTCAAGGTTCAGTTAAGTCACATCAGCTGTGCCCGTCTACATACGCGTGATCTCAATAATTCATTCTTCATGGAGTTTTGTCAAACCGGTACCTTTGGTCTCAACTGCGGATGTATTTTTGAGTGGTTTAAATTTCATATACGGTCATTGAACTTTACTGAAATTTCAATTGGGTC